AGTCAGCGCTCGGATCGGAGGCGCGGGAGTCTATGCTGAAGTCAGCGCTCGGATCGGAGGCGCGGGAGTCTATGCTGAAGTCAGCGCTCTGATCGGAGGGGTCTCTACATTCAACCTTTTGGAAGGCGAATATCCCAATCCTCTGGTTTCCAGCAGACAGGAGCTGGCAGATGGAGTTGCTGATGTTGGAGCAGCCTTGCAGCACCAGCATCTCAGTGGCTGTGGACGCAGGCAGACAGTCAGGGCTCCTGCTTCCCGCACCTCCACCCCGCCCAGCCTGCTCTTGGCTCCTGGCTGCAGGTGACAGTTTAGCGACCTGCAAGAGCTGGTCTGACGCTGAAAGCCATGCAGGGGAAGAACAACCTCAGAGGACAGGCCAGCACCCTCCTCCACTGAACCCTGAGGAAACTGAGGCTGAGACGTGGGTCATGGGCCCAAGCTCAAAGTGCAGGCCAGAGCTGGACCTTGGCCGTGGACCTCCGGGCTCCTGTGTAGCTGGCAGCTGCAGAGCCAGGGACAGTCGTGGGGGCAGCCCTGAGCTGTCCGTGCAGGACGGGACTTGGGCCTGCCCTCCCCATCCTTCCGAAGCCTGCTGTCCACCCTGCTCCTCGGGCTCTGACTTCTCCCTGCCTGAGCTTTCCCTGGGAAAAGGAAATGCATAAAGGAGGGACCTAGGGAAAGCCTGGTGCCTTCCGGAAATCTGAGTTGTTTGGAGCCTGTTTTGAGATTAAGGTCCTAGAAAAGGCCTAGGACACTTGCAAAGACAGGGTTATCGTAGCAGCACTTTTTATCGAACAGTTACTATGCACTCCTATTGCCCTGTTAGCTGCAACTCAAACAGCCCTGTGAGGCAGGAAGCTCTCAGGGGACAGAGGGGACCCAGGCCAGTGAAGTGACTGCACTTCCAAATTGCAGGAAAAAAGAAATCTGTTGTTTGACACCAAGTATCAGAGCTGGAGGCTGAGCTACAGGGAGATAGGAAGGTGCATTGCTTGGTACATCCCTACAGCATTTTTTTTTTAAAAGAACTGACCTCAGGCAAAAACAAGCAAGAAAAACTACACCTAGGGTGGCTTTGACCCTTCTGCTTTCAGCCTCCCCGAAATTCTGAGGAAAGTGTCCATCCTTCACACCAAAGGACATCAGAAAGACGATGAGCAGAAAAAGCCCTTCCGTGCCACCGCTGACAGCACTTAGCAGGGGCAAAGCTCTGGGTTCAACCACCAGCACAGAAAAGAAAAACAACAAAGAGGAAAACGTGCGTCTGAGTGAGGAAAAGGAGCTGTTCTGAGAAGGCTACGCCCTGAGTCCAAGGGGAAGACACTGGAGGAGGCAGACTGTGGAGCTGGGGTGGGCCGGCGGTTGGCGGCATCTTCCGGGCAGGGGGACGGATGGGGGGGAGCATGGAGGGCTTTTAGGGCAGTGCCCTGACAGTCTGTCTGAGCCTCCTCGCGGGCTCGTGATGGGCTCAGCGCTTGTTCAGAACGTGCCGCTCCAGGTGGGGAGGGGACCCTCCTGTGCCTTCTGTGCACCTTACTATGAGTCTGCACAATCTGTGCAAACAAATTCTATTTTTATTTTTCTTTATTTATTTTTTTTGGTACTGAAGATCAAACTCCAGTCCTCGCGCTTGTGAGGCGTGCAGTGGAATCACTGAGCTAAATCCCCGGCCCCACAAATTCTATTTTTAAAGAGAAATAAAAGGAAATTCAGGGTAATTTCTTTGCATCACCGAAAAACCCATGATTACAGTTAAGCATTAAAACTGACATTTAACAGTGCTCGCTTCGGCAGCGCATGTACTACAAGTGTCACGAACTAAAACTGGCCTCAAGTTGCACTTGGGTGTTGTTACACTCACATTACTCTGTGCCGTGTTCTGGTGGAGGCCATTTTTGTTCTGTCTCATCCCTTCCTTCTGGTCACCACAGCCCATACTTCCCTGCATCCCTTATGGTCAGGTGCCCTGTAACTGGATCCCCGCATGGGCAATGGAGGGAGAAACCATGGAAACCTCCAGCCTTCCCCCACTGCCACTCTTCCCTCCTCCGGGAGGGAATGCAAGGGATACATTATGCTCTGGTGAGATGCAAGGGAGACAGCAAAGAATGTCAAGGACCAAAGCTGTGGGATGGAAGGCCCTGAATTCTGACGTGAGGCACTGGATTAAACATCTGTTACCCGGAGTCCTAAGATGTGGAGGTGGCAGAATGGTTAGTACCAAGTTACTTTTGTAAGAAAGGACAATTGGTTGGATTTTTAGGCACAGTTTGACTTTCTGCTACATGATCCAAGCTACCACAAGCCAGCACCTCCCATAAGAGGTGGATAAGTAGGTATAAAAGGAAATAAAGTCGCCCATGCACACACACAGAATGATAGCAGCCTGGTAAAGGAGGTAACGTCAGGGGTATGGTGAAGCGATTAGGTAAGTGTGCCTTGATTTTAAGCCACAAGGGAGCAGAGTCCAAGAGAAAGGCAGCCTGGGAGAAGCAGCTCTGGGCCGAGAAGGCAGAAGTAGCCACAGCCCAAGGCTTCTTTACCCATCCACCCTACAGGCACCCGGGCCCTGAACCCCCTTGTCCACAGCAATTCTGCGTTACTGAGAGCTAACGACCCAAGGAAGGCCGGCACGTTTCCAATCCAAGGCCCATAAACGAACTGGAATGCCAAGACATACCATCATGATTCTGGGCAATGAGAGAGACACACTGTTCTTCTTTATAACATTTCCGGGGTTTCGGGATACAGGATGTGGCATTAGGGCCATGGCAAGCAGGGCACTCCGTGCTGGAAAGATCTTCTGGCGGAGAATCTGGGTGCAGAAAGAATCATCACTCGGGATGGTGTTAGTGTGTAGACCACAGCCCCGCCCAGAAGGAAGGGGCAGGCCAGCAAAGATGCTGCCGGGGAGACCCTGAGAATGATCAGGTGCATCCTTGGGGACTCAGATCCAGCCTTCCGGGCACCCTGTCTCATGAGAACAAGACACGACACCCTCATAGACCCGCCCTTGCAGATACTGAGTCTCAGGAAACAGGCTGAGAAGAGATAGCTAAGGGTTCACACTGGGGCCAACCTTCAGCAGCCTCCTTAGCCAGCTATTCTGAACATCGGCGTACAGGAGCCTATTAGGGAATCTTGGGAATAAATGAACACAGACCATTATTTAACATTGCACGTAGGTGGAAAAATATATTCAGAAGAAGCTCTGCTCTTCATTTACTGTATTTTACGGCCATAGCTAATGAACCTAGCCTTTTGGGTCACGACTTCTCATCTTCAAAAAGAGGGATCTGGTCTAGATCAGCAGTTCTCAAACTGTGGTGCGGGGACCCTGGAGTATCTGAGCGCCCAGACAGGAAGTCCAAAAGGTCGAAACCACTTTCAGGAAAACAGAAGGGTATTCTTTTCCTCTTTGCTCCCCTTGTCTCATGCGTATGGAGTGGCATTTTCCAGAAGGTACCTGATGTGGACACTGCACCTGACCAGGCAACCAGCCGAGATCTCGGCTGGTTTATTCCAAGCTAGACACTAAGAACCTCTACAAAAATATGTAACAACAATGCTGCTCTTCTCACTGTGTATTTCTGTTTTGGAAAATGTAGGTGTTTCTGTGTAAAGGTGTTATTGACATTAATGTGTGATCATTGTTATTTTGGAGTGAACTGATTAAGATTAATGAATTTCTTAGCTTTAGTTTCTAAAGTGATGAATGTTGATAGGTGGAATCCACATCACAAGGGTTCTTTGGGACCCTCGGTGATTTTCCTAAGACTTAGAATCTTAGAGGAGAACACTGATGAACGCTGCGTGCCCCCTTCAGCACAAATTACAGTGCTTGTGGTGTCTGCCTGCTCTGGGAGAGGGCCACAGCGGGCTGGGGTGCTGACTGGCGTAAGCCAGATGTGAGTGCCGTCTGGCTATGCACCGAAGTGCCTGGGCTCCAAACAGTCACACAGGGGCCAGGAGTGCAGATGGCAAATGGCCAGGGCTTGCAGGACACAGGAGGGGCCGCCCCATGCCCAGCACAAACCCAGGGTACTGTAGGCGACATCACAGGCCTTTTCTTGGCAGCACTGGCTCGCGAAATTGAAGCGTTCTCCATCAGACACGTGGACAGAGAAGGCTAGGAGCAAGTCTGTCTCCCCGCTGCAGTCGGCTGCTGAGCAGAACATTTCCTGCTGCATTCTGATTTTTCCTCCTGCACATGAGCAAACACAGACTGTCAGGCCCCAGTGAGGGCAGGGACCCTGACGAGAGATCACTTCAACCAAAGACAGAAAAAGCCACCTCTACTTAGTGTGGTTTTAGAGACACTGCAAATGGAAAGCCCCACCCATCTGGGCGCTCCTTCCAGGAGGTTATTGGAGGTGGAGTTCTCACTCTGGGGAAAGGCTGATGGGAAGCTGCAGCTGCTGCTTCAGGCTGACACCCTGAGCCCACCCATCAGTCTCAACCGCTAAGATCATGAAGCGGATGAAGTGGGCCTCACAAGCAGCAGAATACCCACAGTACCACCTCTGCCTCCCGTATAGTCGGTGGACAGGTGTCCAGTCAAGCTTTTAGCCAGAGCTATCCAGTATAGTAGCCACCGCATGCGGCTATTTAAGGCCAAATTCGTCACAATTAAATTGAACTTAAACTTAAGTTCCTTCATCATACTAGCCCTATTTCAAGGGCTTCAGAACCACATGTGGACACTGTGTGACAGAATTGATAGCGAAATTTCCACTGTTGTAGAAAGTACTACCGGATGGCACTGGTTTATCTACAAGAAATACCAGGAACTGGATAGCAAGTTAGATGACCCCACAAAGGGGGAATCAGCCAAGCTAGGATGTGGAAAATGGCCTCATTTCTCCTCCCAATCAATGGAACTGAACAAAGAAAAAGAAAGAAACCAATGGGAACAGTTATAAAGGAAAGTAGAATCAACAACTTTAACCGTAAAAGGCAATGTGGGGATTTTGTTTGTGTCCTAACCCTAACCCGTCAACTACCTGTACTGTGACATCTTTGAAACAACCGAGGAACTGTAAAATGGCTTGGGTATCAGAACAAATGAAAGAATTACAGCTAATTCTTAGGCACGATCAGATGTTGTAGTGATAGCAACGTTTTTATCGGAGCTGAATAGTGAGGTATGGGTGGGGAACGTGAGGACACATGCACACGCAGGTCCTTTAAACACTGTGACATCCAGGGCACACGCGCTGCGATTGCTGGCCCAGGACCGTGTATCGGGGGCAGCGGACCGCACTCTCCTCCTGCTCCTGTGTGTGGAACTCTCAGTGTTCTGAGGGAGTTGACTGTCACGTGGCTACGATCGAAGCGCCTGGTGAGGAAGTCCTGCATGGAAGTATGCTTGGTGAGGAGAGAGGGCTGGGAGAGCAGGCATCTGAGGAAGACTTCATCTGAGAGCTGGTCTTGCTCTCACACCCAGAACACGTGTGCAGAGTGCGGCTCCAGGCGGGGTAGCCATACCCAAGACACCACGGGGCCTGCTTGCTTTCCCGAGCTGCCCCTGTGGCCCCACCTGACCCCCCATCCCGCCATGTGTCGCCTCTCCAGAGAGTCACCTTCGTGACCCCTCTGTCTGCACAGCCCAGCCCACCCAGCCTCCCTTGCTCCCTCTTCAGCTCCTGGCCATATGACGTGGGACCACACACCCCGGCTCACCTAGAGAGGAGTTGGCCGAGGAACTGACACAGCTGTTGCTGGCATCCGAAGGACATTCGGAGGCACTGGCGTTGATACAGGAGTTTGTAAGTGAATTACACTGAGTGCAGCTGAGGGACTCTGAGGAGAGAAACATCGACGTCAACCAATGTGCAGCACACATGGGCAGCGCAGACTCTGAGCCTGCCTCGTGCTCAGCACAGGGACGGATACATAGATGGGTCAGCATCTCTGCCTTCCAGGGCTCCCCAGAGTCGATGCTGTGAGACACAGCCTTGGGGGCTTGGCCAGGAGTGAATGGTTAAACTGCAGGATGCACACAGGCTGTGTGAGAATCAAATGCTGAACAACAAGAAGTTTAGATTCGTGAAGCATGTTGTGTCTGGGCGTGTGCTTCCCCTTCCCCATGAAAACCTGCCCCACCTTGAGACAGCTCCAGGCCCAAACTGCTTTTCTCCTGCTCTTTCTCTTACACTGAGATTCCAAATAAAAGCCAGAGTGTTCTTGGCATGGTGCTCTTTCTTCCCCCAGAGTCTCCCGATGGCTGGGTCCTCAGTGGAGAAACAGCCCCTTTGGGCCTTCCAGGAACTGAACTAAGTCTTGTCTCTGTGTAATCTTCTCATCCTCTATGCCACCCATGCTCACTGCTACACGGAGCCATCACTTCCTCCCCTCTGTTCACTGTTCCCCAGCAGGAAGACCCAACCTCGGCCAACGACACACAGTGACCTCTCTGAATGCGGGGTACCGGGCGGTTCTCATGCTCCCCCCTGACCATGCCATGACCCCAGAGGCCTTGTGAGGGGTCCTCAGGGCACAAGGACAAGCAGACTCCAGTGAGGTGGACAAAGAGGTCTTCATTCCAAAGGGAGCCACATGGCTTCTCTCACCTACAGCTGCAATGGCCAGTGCTGTAGTGACCACCACCGTGAAGACCCCTCTCATGGTGCTGGAGCCAACTTCTCCTGAGTGTAGGGTCACACAGCCTCGAGCCTGAAGAGACACAAAGAAGGCAGCCCAGGGCTTGAAGGAAGTCCTGTCACCCTAAGGAGTCTTAATCCCACTGCAACAAGCCCAGTATCCAGGCCATCTCTGACAGAAAGAATCCAAGTCCTGCCAGAGAGCACAGGGCTGCAACTGAGATTCCAACATGCCCTCACACAAGGTCTGAGTTTCCTAATCTCCTGCAGAAATCTGCAAGCACAGACCGGAACCATAGCGTGGGGCATTTCCCTGTGGAACCCCTCAGCTGTAAAGGGGAGTAGACCAATGTCCAGTTCCACTGAGGATGAGACTCATGTTAGTTAGATTTCCATTGCTGGGACAAAATTCAGGGGATAATCAAATTTCAAGGAAGAAAGATGTGTTTGGCTCATGGTTTCAGAGGTTTCAGTGCCTGGGTGCCTGGCCCCATCGCTCTGAGGCTGAGGCACACAGCACATTATGGTGGGAGCAAATGAGGAGGTCTGTTCGCCTCCTGGCAGCCAGGAAGTAAAATGGAAACCCAAGAAGGGCCAGGGTCCCTGCATGTCCTTCCTGCCCCGCACCCATTGGCCTCACTTCCTTTTACCAGGATCCAGCTCTGAAAACCTCCACCTCTCCCAATAGCACCGCCAGCTGGTGACGAAGCTTCAGCACATGTGGGCCTGTGCAGGTGTTTAGCACCCAAGCCACAGAGGATCTGAGGAAAGAGCTGAGTTGGGTCTGTGCTCCCCTCTCCTCTCCCAAGCACAATGCTCAGGCTGTGGCTGGGATCTCCACAGATGCCCAGCGTGAGCTGAGGGTTCTGTTGCTGCTACCACCACCATGTGCGCTCACATATTCCAGGGCCATGTGTGTATTAATTTGCTCCATTTGCTGGCCTCAGCAGGCAGGTACTATTACTAGCACCAAGGCGAAATCAGTCACCAAAAGGGTGAATAATGCACTCAAAATCAAGGCCTCACTCCAGGGAGGAGTCAGAGCTGGGACATGGGCCAGGCCTGCAACCACCAGTCCACACTGCTTTCCACAGAAGACAACACTCAGGGCCCAGGGCCTGGACACTCTCAGCCTGCAGGGTGGAGTCAGAGGCCTTGCACTTGATCCTATGTCACCAACCTCTCTGCACCTTGCATTCCGTGCCTGCAAACGGTCTGAGTGACATCTTTGAGGGTCACTGTGTTTTCATCATATTCATTAGAAGCCTAAGTCGCAGCTTTTAGAATTTCAATTTGCCTGTGTATTGAGCAGCAGAGACCAATGGCCGGCTCTGTGCTGGGCCCTTGAGTCACTACCCATTTCCCAGCATGGTGGCTGGAGTTCATGCACTGGCATTAGGTGCCAAGAAACACTGTGTGCCCAGCAGCCACGTGTGGCTGGTGGCTGCCATAGTGGCCAATGCAGGCACAGAGCATTCCAGCCACTCCAGAAAGCCTGCGGCCAGCGTCCCCTCTACACCACAGGAAATGAAATGCAGCCTCCAGGCTTCATGGAAACTCCAAGCTCACCGGCTTGGAAGGCCCAAGCCAGGAAGCAGGGCTCCTTTCCAGGTTCTGCAGCCCACGGGGCAGCTGTACCCCAGAGCTGCCTCGTGCTAGCGGACCTTCTCGCAGCAGAGGCCTCCCCATCCCCTCTCCCCAGGCACACTCACACACGCGGGTGGGAGCGAATGCCACTGACACTGCACACCGCTGAAGAGGAGAACAGCAGGCGCCCTGGAGGGGCGGGGAAGCTGCCCGGGGCCCTGTCGGAGACCCAAGGGGAGAGTGAGGGGCCTGCTTAGGAGCTGGGCCACAGCCTAGCCGTGGGCCCTGAGCTCCCTCTTCTCAGCGGGCAGAGGCGTCCCAGGCTGGGCTTCCTGGGGAAAGGCCTCCCGGGCCTGACTGGAGAAAGAGCAAGCAGAAGCAGAGAGAAACGTGAGAGAGCAGAGACCCCAGCTCCCACTCAGTGCAAACATCACCTCCACACCCCAGGGGGACCCGATCGTCAGCCTCACCCTCGGGGGAAGCCGCGGAGGGAGGCGGAGAGCGAGCGGGTGGGACAGGCCCAGGGCAGAGCGGAGAGGCGGAGCCCGGACACGCGCCCGGGCCTGCTGGCCACTTCTTTGGGAGAGAAGGAGAAGCCAGCTGGGGCCAGGGCAGGCCCTGCACGAAGCAGGAGAAGTCGCACCTGTGTGTCCCTGCCCCTAAAACACTTGCCACCTGCCAAGTTCAGTCATCAACCTGCCAACCATCGGGCAAGGTCCGACCAAAACTGCCCTCTTCTAACAGGGAAGCCCGGCTCAGAGAGGGTCTGGAGACCCCGTGCCGCACAGAGCAGCAGGCAGCAGGGTGACAGCCTGGCCCACCCCCAGCCATACAGTGCTCCCCAAGGCCCCTCTCCAACCCCAGGGGCCGGGGCTGGGTGCCCTGAGGGCCTCTCCTGGCCTGGGCCCCTCACCCTCCCCCTCACCTTCTGGGTCCCGCCTGGATTCTGTCCTGCAGAAGGAGGCTCTGGCAGATGGCTGGCCAGGTGCAGCCAGCCATATATCGCTGCTGCCTGGGCGGGGCCTCCAAGGCAGAGGGCCCTGGCCGAGGGCTGGCAGACAGTGCCCCGCCCAGCCGACAGGCAGGCAGCCTAACCCCGGGGACCTATGCAGTCCGTGCCCTCTCTGGGGCCTCCAGGATTTGGAAGTGACTTAGGCCAAGGGCTGCCCATCATCGACGTGCTGTCCAGCGTCGGTTCTGTCCGCTTGGTCAGCTCCAGTACCTGTGACATTGATCAGACTGCCTCGTCCCCGACCCAGGGTCACCACCTGTCACCAGTGTGGGATCCAAGGCCTGGATCGTTTGTAAGATGTCAGAGAAATCACTTCCCTAAAGCAGACCTTCCTTCTGACTAACCAAGTCCAGGACCAGAGAAGCCCAGAGAAGCCCAGCTCTCTAAACAACCCCATCTCACTCTTCACCTAAGAACCGCTGGGCCCACCTCGGCACACTGGCTCCAGCATCTCCATCACGGAGAGAAAGGTCTCCTGTCCTTACAAGCAGCTCAGCTGGGACACGCCTGGAACTCAGCCAGGGTCCTGGAGTTATGCCTTGGTGTACATCCAGTGTACATCCAGTCTGGGAGATGGGCTTCTCCAAGACTTTCCCTTGGCCTCCAGCAAAGCCTAGAGATGAGTAGAAGTGTACATGATTGGGAAACAGAGGCCAGAGCAGGAATTCCATCTCCAATAGGAGTCCCTGCCAAGGGCTCAGCAAAGAGTCCCATCAAGATCAACTGCTAGCTCCAGCCCTGTCTGACTGTGTTTGCCTCTGGGAGCTTTTCCTTAGGTTAAAAGCCATGAAGCTACTACCCCAGTGCCATCACTATCCCCATCATCGGTGTGTTCAGCTCTGTGCTGGGCTCTGTGATGATCCCAGCCAGGTCACAGAGGAAATGTGGATGTCCTGAAAGACAGAGTCCCCAGCAGTCCACACCCTGCATAACAGGATCTCACATCTGTCAAATTAGAAAATCACAACCAATCACTTCTTAAGAATTGCTCTGAGATTTAACGTACATCATCAGCAGAGACATCTAGCATGGAGGGAGCTATCAGGTCATAAGAGGCTCAAAAGCAATGGCTACTGCCATGCCGTGTCCTCTTGAGCTTGCACCAGTGACCTGTAACCTAGGAGCCTCATGCCCATACAGCAGTGGCCTAAGGTGAGGCATGGTCAGAGTGCATTTCTGCCCCAACCAATCGAGCGAGGTTAAAAGATTAGACATTGCTAAGTCTCCAGTTCCCTCAGACGAGTGCAAGGAACAGCTATAATACCCACTATAAAGATGAAAATACGTCAGCCTTGTCTATCCATTTAGTGCTTTATTGTACTGTTCCTTCATGTAAAGTGACTTGGTACAAAAACCAGATGAGATTAGGAGGAAAGTTTATGTGCCTATATATTTGGCACAGGGGAATTTTCATACTTCTCTTATCAACCCAGCCACAGGTCACTCAGCTGGGGTCACTTCATGGCAGGCAATGTGTCTAGGATCAAGCCACTTAACCACCAGGGGAGTCTGCCATATACCTTTCCCCAAAGTCATGGTTCTAAATATACGGCAAATTGGAGGGGTTATTGCCTCCAACATTCGAAAGTTAGTTTTTGTACTATTTATACTTCTATTATACAAACTGATGAGGAGCAATATGAAAATCTGATACAGACACACCACGAGTAATGGTCAAGTGGATTCTAACGAGGCTGGTGAAGAGAGGCGAAAACAGCAGGCCTGGCTCAGTGACTGTCGACAACAGCGGTTACCGCTGTGACCTTGTTCAAGACCAGCAGTATTTCCATCCACACAAAGGGACAGCAGTGCCGACTTTGCGTTGTGCCGTCGCATGACAACCGACACACACACACAGCCCTCAGAACTGAGTGCTCCTTTCCTCTGCCAGTCGAGCCTTAAATTTCCGTATTTGGTCAAGGAATACTGCACTTGTTTGTACCTTCACAGGGACACTGGCTCAGAGCTGAACCAGACAGGTGAATCCCTTGTCCTCCCTGTGATTTTAAGCTCGTACGAACAACTGCAAGCAAAGAAGGAAGCAGGATTTTAAAACAACAAGTAAATAGACACGTGAAGATGAGAGCAAACTGAAGTGCTGTGATGGGAACAGAGACAGGAATAACGAGGGTGAAGCGTGGAGGTCGTTTAGAGCATGGTGGGGGAGGCCTCCCTGAGAGGCCGGGGGTCTAGGCGGGGCTGAGAAAGGTGAGGTGGGCAGGACTCACGGGGAAACACCGAAGTTCCTCTGCTGTGAGAAACTGAAAACGTAGGCAAGGGTCCGAATGTCTAATAGGGAATGTGAAACAGGAAGGAACAGGGCAAAGGGGAAGTGGGAGGGGCAGGGTAAAGGAAAGAAGGGAAAGGAATAAATAGGAAAAAAGGGAAAAATGGAAACAAAGTCTTTGTGAATAGGAAAGGGTGGAGGGGGTGAAGGGAGGGCAGGGGAAGGGGGGAAAATAAGAATCAAGAGAGATTATGTAAAGGTGCAAATTTCCAGTGATGAATGTCATCATATTGTGTACCTAAAATGTACCAATAAAATTAATTTTTTAA